AGAATATGATGTCATACTGGAGTTAATCATTATTTATATGTTTCAATCATGATTACTAATCGGATTCACTGGATTAAAACATATTTATGTTTTTGATTGATTGTCATCGCGGTCAATAATCGCAATCTTTGATCCCCGATGATTAATGGAATACAGGTAGATGATTAAAAATCAATGATTAACCACTCAGTGATTAGTTTTGTAGTTTCATATTGTTCTATTATGTTTCATTGGTGTCGTCAAGAACAAAAACACGTATTCACCCAACAGACACCCATCGAAATAACTTTAACCAACATCACTAGCAAAGACACCAAGCATAATTATTATGTTAATAACTAGTTTGCTACAGATTCATTCAGCCTCTTTTGAGAACTGATGACTTCCAAAGGGTTTGTAAAATGTAAAAAAGGACAATAGATGCGAAACTGCCCTGATTTCCAGGCCTTTCATCAAAATACCCTTAACTAACATCATCGCACTAAGCTGCATCATACTTGAATAAGATTTTGTGTTAGTATTTCATTACGCATAGTCAAATTGATCAATAGATCTGAAATTACCCATTTATCATTAAGACACAAAACATGATTATGTTGGTAGCGATTTCGCTAAAGCGTCATACAAATATGCTAAATTCTACTAAGACAATAAATTGACGAAGTTCTCAAATAATTAACACTGTCAACACTTATTCTTATTATAAACATAACGATGGATGACTAATTTTGATACATAATCATACTTGAATAAGATTTTGTGTTAGCATTTCATTAAGCATAGTCAAATTGATCAATAGATCTGAAATTACCCATCTATCATTAAGACACAAAACATGATTATGTTGGTAGCGATTTCGCTAAAGCGTCATACAAATATGCTAAATTCTACTAAGACAATAAATTGACTAAGTTCTCAAATAATTAACACTGTCAACACTTATTCTTATTATAAACATAACGATGGATGACTAATTTTGATACATAATCATACTTGAATAAGATTTTGTGTTAGCATTTCATTACGCATAGTCAAATTGATCAATAGATTTGAAATTACCCATCTATCACTAAGACACAAAGCATGATTATGTTGGTAGCGATTTCGCTAAAGATTTCACAGACCTAGTCATTCACCAGGTCACAAACAACCATCAAGTGTCTATCATCGACATTTACATGTTTGGACTGCAGTGTGAATGGTCTCTCTGTTTAATGTTATTTCAAATCGATTCAAAACTGAATGATGAAAAAAAACCTATTATATCAGGAATTGATTTTAATGTCAATAATAAACATAACAAGATAACAAGCATTAACAATAAATAACAAATTAATCAATGTCTCTTCAGTAGTCTCTGTCTTCGTTTAACCTTGGCGATTTCGGTCAGGGATCTTGTATTCTTGGAACGACTTCTTTTATTTCCGAACCATTTCTTGACTTGTTCTGTGTTCAGACTGGAAACCTGTGCTAACCATTCTACTTGTGAAGCTGTTGGATATGGATGATCCAGATGACACTCGTACCATTTTTCAAGAACTTTGAGAGAGTTACGCGTTAATACAGGCCTAGTTCGCGTTATTGACGGTGAAGGTCTATCACGAGAAGAAAGTAATTTCAAACTGTATTCAACCCTGTCAATTATCTTGTTTAGTTGAGAGTCA